AGTGATGGGCTCTGTATCAGAAGCTGGATATGAACAGATAGCATGCTGGAAAATCAGAGCCAGGTAACATGTGGTAGGACAGAACTAGACTGCCTGGGTCCTCAACCTAGTCTGGCATTTACAGGCTGACTTGAGCTACTCAAGTTCCTTAACTTCACACCTCAGGTTCCTCATCAGTAAAATGGTTATAATAATGCCTTGAATAGTTTTTGTGAAGTCTCTCTGAATGATGAATGACATAGCCTACATAAAATATCAAAAAGGCTTGCTATAAAATAAATAAGTAAATAAATAAATAATAAATAAATAAATAAATAAATAAGTACCTTCCATGCACTGTTAGCATCACCTGAGTTTTGAGTGTCTGTGGTCAGACAAAAGGCTCGAAAAAAGTGGGGCAGGGTGAGTCAGGGGGTACATATTCCAGATGAGGGGAACCAGTGCAGCAGAAAGTCACAGCCAGAGGTGAAAACCAGGGGGCTTAAATGTAAATGAGGAAAATAGGCTCACAACAACCGAGCTCCTCTTTCCTTACTCCAGGCTAACGGAGATTGGGAGAGGAGGGTTTGGTACACCTGCTGCTGTGCTCCGAGGATTCAACACTCAGTCCATTCTTAGACACTATGAATGCAAACTCTCTCAGAAATGTTCTATTCTCTGCTCCTGGAACAGTGGAAAGGAAATCAAAACTAAAAAGGTAAGCAACATTTTTTTTTTCTGCAGTACAGCTGGGTGGAATACAGGTCATTAACATCAAGTCGCATCTCATCTTTATCTGTCCTTTCAGTGGGGTTACTAATGAGGTGAGGACTTAAGAGGAGTGAGGGACACCACAGATTCCATCCTTCAATTTCAGTCTCTACCAGCAGCCTAGGCCACAATCTACTTAAGACAGTATACTTGTTAGGTAACTAACTTCAGGATAGATATCCAAGCCCAGCCTGCCTAGACTATTCTGCCAATGATATGCTCACAAGCCACTAAGAAAAACAGGTATCTAGACCATTTTATTAAACGGTACCGATGCATCAGTTGCACTTCTAGGGAAGCTTGCTGTGACTGTTTATTTAACTGAGATATTAACTTAGAAGATTTCCTCCTTCACCAATTTAAAAACTGTAACACCAAAGCAAGTGGCAGTAATTCACAGTCCTCATCCCAAGAGAAAAACATGGCTTTCATTTTGACAAGGGGATCCTGGAGAGAAAACAAGTTTGCTGACCTAAGTTGGCAAAGTTCTTTCTGGTTTGGGGTTTGTTTGTATTTCTCCCCCCGCACTATTAGAATAGACTTAAGACTTGGAAACACCAGAGTTCTGTTGGCCATTTCCTGAACCAAACACCTGGAGCTCTCAGGGGTACGAAGCTTTGTGAGAAAGGCGAATTGTTTCCTCTGATCCAACAGCTGTAACTCTGAAGTGTTTGCCCAGAAGAACCTAAGGTTCTGAAGCCAAAGCAATCCTCCAAATATTTACAAAATGAAACCGTTTCTGTCTTAACTGTGTTTTGTTTTTATACACCTAATTTGTCCCGGGAACCACAGTACTAACAATAAAAACAGCTTTTTAAACAAAGTAGCTCAAATAAAACCACCCACAAGCACATTCACAACACCAGAACTATCCCCTAAAGAAAGCAAGCTTGGATTCAAATTCCACCAAAGGACGTGACCCACCACACCTCTTCTCTATCATCCTTCCCACTATGGTTCACACGTCCAAAATGCACAGGATCTGACCACTGCATAACAGACTTGCCAGTAATGGGCAAATGTTCTCTTATGTGGTCAGCCTAGAACAACAGAGCCTGTATATAGAATAACTACCCCAGATGAGAGGACTGCTGTCTCCCAGCATTTCTGGAAGTCACTGGCAGATCAGCAAAGTTTCTAGCTATCCTTGCCTTGTCTTTCCTGCCATCCACCTTCTGGGAAAATGATCTGACCCCAGAAGAGTACAACTAATAACAATATCTGCTTTATGGTAATAAGAAATTGTAACTAGGAAAACAATAGCCTATGTAGGTGGCTGTATTCCAAAAGTAAATAACTATAAAATAATGGTATATAAAATACATCATATTTCAAACTCATGGAAGGAATTTTACTACACGAGAGTTTGATTTTTATACCTGCTTGACAGAAAATTAAGAGGGAATTACAATGAATGACACAACACTATCAGGAGAAAGAACACAGACCTTAGATTTCCAATTAATTCTGCTACTTAATATTAATTAGACAAATATTTATTAAAGACTTGTTCCAAATGCTGTGAAGACAGACAAAGAGCTTGCCCACAAGTAGCTCAGCACAGAGAAGCAGAGACAAGTAAACAGAAATGAAGGGCATTTTCTTGTGATGATAAATTTTAGGAAAAAATAGTTCGTTAACTTCTGTTATTGCTTCCTTATGGGGAAGACATGATGATGAGTGTTAACCACTTGGCACACAACAACCAAGCATTTACCTGCACATGAATGCACACCCATAGACACTCTTATATGCACCACCCCCATTTCTGTGAAATAATGCACTTGGAATAAAATGCAAGCAGACGGGAAACAAAAATTTTAGTGTAATTTAATTATCTTTTGTGCCATTGTTACAAATAACTACATTCATCAAGAATCTGCAAATCACAGAATCTAGACAATTATTTCTGACTAAATATTAAAAGTCCAGATACTAGAATAGTAGTAGTATAAACAGTACTATAAATTTTAAAAACAGTAATATAAGCCTGGCATGGTGGCACATGCCTTTAATAACAGCACTTGGGAGGCAGAAACAGGTAGATTGCTGTGTGTTTGAGGCCAACATGGTCTACATAGCAAGCATGAGGTTAGCCTGAGCTACACTGTGAGACTCTGTCTCAAAATAAATAAATTAATTAAAAAGTAATATAGCAGCCAGGCATGGTGGCGTGCACCTTTAATCCCAGCATTCGCGGGAGGCAGAGGCAGGCGGATCTCTGTGAGTTCAAGGCCAGCCTCCTCTACATAGTGAGTTCCAGGATAGCTGGAGCTACAGGGAGACCCTGTCTCAAAAAGACCAAAAAAAAAAAAAAAGTAATATAGCTATAACTACCTTGTCCACTCTGTAACACTGCCCCAAGAATCAGGCTATTTTGCAATATACATAAGACTCAGCTCTCAGAACCGATTGTTGCAATATCAGAGACTGGGTTTGGGGGAGGGTGTCATTTTTACAGGCACAGATTTTACATGTAGAAGCACCTTTAGGAAATATCTAAACTCCTCTCCTTATATCACCAAAGAGATAACATAGAGCCCCTGAGGCAAAGGGTTAACCCCAGGGCAGCAACCTGTGCGGGGCTCAGGGCTCCTAGACCCCAGTTTCCTAAGCCTCGCGTTCAAGGACCATCACAGTTGGAGTTTAGATTTTATGAAAATATTGACGATGCCAGTGACTTCCAAGCTTCAATTTCAATTATTAATTGCCCCTTCATTTCAGGTAACAGCGCCAGTTGGCGACGAAGGAGCCCACTGCAGAACTAGGGAGTGCCCTTATTAAGGAAGGTGCCTCCAACACTATCACCCATATTTGGGGGAAAGGGGGAAGATGCAGCTTGCTAGAAAGAGGAAAGATATCTTTCAAATTACAACTTTCAGTTTGCCTCAGGAAAAAAAAAAAAAAAAGCCTCAAACCGTTCGCTTTAAGATGATGTATGGGAACGTGAGAGGGAAAGGGGTCCAAAAACCGTGTCCAAGCTATTAGAGAACAGGAGAGTCCTTGAACAGAGAAAGGGATGAGGAAGAGGGAGCAGCTGGGCCCAGGGCAAACACTTGACCACACCCACCGGCCACGCCCTCCCAGCTGCCCGCAGAGCCACAATGAATTGAAACAGCAGTGCGAGCAGTTAAGATTCCGAAGGCAGGAGTCGCCATGGCAACCGGATTCGTCTTGCAGGCAAACTATGCTTCAATTCACTGGGTCCTGCTCGAATCTCAAGAAACTACCAATTCATTCAATGGAGGCAAAACCACCGGGTGGCATTTGCTTTTGATGATTCACCGCCCCCGCCCCAGGTTGACAATGGGGAGAGGGGATTGGAGAACAGGAATCTATTCCTGAACACACTAAAATATTTTATGGGGACAAGAGACAGAACTCATCAAACCCAGGCAGTGAACAACGTGCAAAGAGACGAAAGCAGGGTTTGATGAATGAGTAACCGAACGAATTATGAAGCTGACAGAGAAGAGGGAAGAAAATCCAGAGTTGTAGGGTCTCTCCTAGCTCACGTCTCCAATTAGAGAACAAGTCGATCACAAACAGTAGGGTTTTGGCACTAGATGGGCAGACCCGATTATCTGGCCTTGCTGCCGCCACAGCAAACCTTATCATTAATTACCAGACACTCCCCTACCCCTGGGGTTCTGAGGTCGCCCCAGGAGCCCTTTTGCAGAGCCCAATTCCCTACAGCGAAGGCTGAGACGTGCCCTCAGCAACAGGACGCGAGGCGACGGTGCTCCGTGGGGCCGGGAATCCGGTCCACCGCGGCCAGCCTCCCTCCGCTGCCCGCCGACCCCGCTCTCGGGCTCCGCAGCTCCCGGCTCCCCTCTGCTCTCTGCAAACAGCAAGCTCGGACACTGCCTGGACTCCAGCCACCCTCTCGGTTTCCAGTAGGGCTGGACGCGGAGGTGCCAGGACGACGGGGGGCCCTACTGGGACGTGGACCCGGCCCGGGGGGCCCTCCTTCCCCACCACCGCCGTGTCCCCTCCGCCACTCCGAGCTCCGGGCCTCTGCCGCAGTGTCCGCAGCCCCAGCCCCGAGCGGCCAGTGGTACCCGGCGGGCTCCCAGGCTTCCCAGCCGAGGGAAAGAGGGAGGACCCCGTCCGCGCCGACGCCTTTCTCCCGGCTCGCCGCGATCAGTGCCGTGCTTGCAGCCATTTTCCAAAGCCCAGCTTGGCAGCCCGCAGCTGTCTCGGTCCCGTTCCCAACCAGACCCAACCTGAAGGACGAGTTTAATATTTACCTACTGGCCGCTGAGCTCCGGGCAAGCGGAGGGAGGGCGCGTCGCGCAGCCAGCAAGCCGCCAGAACACGCATGCCCATCCCCGCGCCGCAGCGCGCGGCCACCTAATGAATGAGCGCGGCGGGCGACACGGCCCGTCCCCCTTACCTGAGCAGCCCCTGCATGCTGGAAAGGCCGTTCTGCGCTCCCGGTACAATGGGATCCGGTTAAACAGTTTCCTTCACAGCCGCTCGTAGGTTACCAACTCGCAGGTGACATCACCCTCTCCTCTCCTGATAGGGTACAATGTGGCGCTTACTGCGCATGAACTCCCCGGCCGCGCCCGCAGACTTCTGGGAATTGTAGTTCTTATTCTGTAGGCTAGCTGAAAAGGTTTCGCTATCCTGGCCCTGAAGAACTACATTTCCAGAGGTGCACGTCGGACTCTCCATTCCCTCCCCCCTCCTCCCCAACCCCGCCTCCCCGGACCCGCCCCCTCTCCGCCCTCCTGCCTCCAAAAGCCAGAGGTGGTCGATCCGAAGCTGGACTGCGGACAGCCTGGGTGAGAGGAAGGGGCACCCTGTGGTTGTGACCTTTGACTTGACCTCTTTTCATCCCTTGCGGGCTGCAAGGGCCGCGAGTGGTCCTGGACCCGAGCTCACTGGTCAGGCAACTCTGATCATCAGCCGGGCTCTCCTGCCCCCAGCTGGGAAGGGTTTATTAAAGCCTTTCTTTGCCTTTCCCACTCAAAGCCACCAGTTCCTAGGACTCCCGGGGTTACTAGGTTAAATGCCCGGCTGGCATTTACCCGTGTGCCCAAGGCTCAAACAACGCCAGCCGGAAAGGGAGATGTCCGTTGCACCACACTTAGTTCAGTGATCCTTTTTCTTTCATCTTTTTTTTTTTTTTTTTTTTTTTTTAAAAAAAAAAAAAAAAAAAAGGGGCAAAAAACGACAGCCGGAAAAGGAGAGGTCTGTGGTCCCCCACTTTGTTTAGTGTTTCTTTTTTTTTTTTCTTTTTTTTTTTTTTTTTTTTTTTTGACGGACACCGAGTGACCAAGAAGAACGCGAGAAGCAACATAGTCTGCTGAACTGACAGGATAACCAGCGGCTGTCACTAATGAAAATGCAATTGAATAGACAGTCACTGCAACCCTCGGTCCTGGAGCCGCTACTGCTGCAGATAGAACACTGTCTGCAGCCATGCTTTTGTTCTTCAGTGCAGGGACTTCCCGTTCTCATGGCTCTCAACTCCCCCAAGATAGCATGCAAGTCTAATAAAGTTTTAGTAAATTATGTAGACATAAAATTTAAAATCCACAATACCTCCTCCATCCCCACTCTCCACACTTTCCCCTTCAAAAAAAAAAAAATTGAATACCTTAACCCAAACACAATGCCCTTCAAGAACTGTCTTGATCTTCATATACCTAAATGTGTACTCAAAGGTAAGCAAAAGGTGTGTAGTGGAATTCTGACCCATTTGACAGATTTTGGTTTTAATACATAAAAATTTTCTGTATCATTATCTTACCCTTCAACGAATACCAAAAATTAACATAGGGAGCAAATTTCTAGGTGTCTTTTTACATGAAAGATGTATTTATTCAAGTTTTAATGGCGCTGCGGTGTTTCAGTCATATGTAAGGATCAGCTGACATGTCCACTTCCACAAGCAAAATTTAGATTTTTACTTCTCAGGAAATGAAGATTGACAATTAAGATTTCAAACAACTTTTCACCTAATTGTTGATGGAAACCTTATCAGTTATCTTCTCTTTTCCACTTGAAACACTAACTTAGGTTCAAGTGAAAAATATTCCTGGTATTAGTTGAGGATCTCGTGGGGGGGGGCGGTGGTGGTGGTGGTGGTGTTTTGCTTTGTTTTGATGAAAAAGATGGTTTAGTGCTGAATTCTGATTTTCGTTTGATAAGCCTTTTCTTTACAGACCTGACCCATTTTCCTCCACTGAAGGAGGATAACTTTGCTGCTCTTCTGGACTATTCTATCCATTTCAAATATTATCTTAAATGGAACCCAGACAATACAAATTTCCACTGACCATCAGATCAAGGGTGCAGGCAGTGATACTCTGGGCTAATGGGTAGGCTTAATGTATTGCATAGTTCATTGTAAAAAAAAAAATAATAATCCAGAAAGAAACTTGACCTGGGATGATTCTAAAAGCTCTCTCAATCTTATAACTGTGGAAAGCTTTTAGATGGAAACCTAATCAGTGAGCCTGAAATTTACTGAGTCAATAAATTGAACTTGGACCCCTTCTGTAAGACAAGGCTTATCTTTGTAGATAAAAGCACATTGTTGAGGCACACTCAGAGGAGATAATTCCACAGGAGCACTCACCATCACCTTAGAGCAAGTTCTCGGCTCCCGGCAGTGAAGAAAAGGAATTGCCTCTTGCCTGAAGAAAAAGAATCCATTCTCTCTAACGGCCTTACAGGGTGTGTCACGTGGCATAGTTCATCTCCACATATGAAGGACAGCATGCACAATAAACTACAAGCAGGGAAATACAAGAATGTACATGTGAGAGTTCTATCAAGTAACTATAAATGCACGTAATAGAAGTGTTTGGAAACGTTTTCCCATGAATGATGATGGATTTAAACTGATCCCTGCACACTGTTGCATTGGTAACCAAGGGAAACAAAGATGGCTCTTTAGTATCAGAAATGCTGTCTATAGACCTGGATCCAGCAGAAGCTTAAACATGTCTATCACACACACACACACACACACACACACACACACACACACACTGTATATGTCTGTATTTAATTCTAGGTGACTCAGTTTCAGAAAGCATGAAAAACACCCATTCTGTCTAGCTTAATTTATATTCTGAAACAAAAGGGTTTCTTTACTGTTTCCTTTTATTTTTAAACAACTGCTATTCTGAAATGATCTTATAAAGGCCCTGCCTCATCTAACAATCATAGACTATTAATTAGGAACCTGTGGGACCATTGAATAGACTGTCCATATTGGGGTGGGGGGCAACAATGGCATCATGGAGCATTTTGCTGGTATTTCTAAACAACCTCTCTCAACTCTGGTTACAAGGTTTTACTTAAGGGAGGAAATGAGACATCAATAGAGAAAATGAATGTTTATAGCCTTGCATGTGTTGTCCTGGTGTTTCATAACAATTATGGTTGTATGTTTAGCCTGAATTTGGGATTGTGCTGTTTTACTATTTTCAGCAATGCAACTTTGCTTAAATGTGTTGTTTGTTCTCTCTGAGTCTCAGTTTCCTTACTTATAAATTAGCAAAAAGACTTCATGTTTTTGAGTATTAGGCGAGACATGTAGAAACACTTTTATGAAGCAAAGTTGAGGATTTTTAAAGATTTGTTTTGTTTTTTATTTTTGAGACAGGATCTCCCTGTAGCCCCAGCTGTCCTGGAAGTCACTATGTAGAGCAGGCTGGCCTTGAACTCACAGAGATCCACCTGCCTCTGCCTCCCGAGTGCTGGGATTAAAGGCGTGCGCTACCACGCCTGGCTTATAAAGATGTTTTAATACAGGCTTAAGCATGAGGGTTGAGAGAAAGGCTCTCAGAAGGAGAAAGCACCGGTGTGGGCTTCTCAAAGAGGAGTCACAGAAGTAAGACACACTCAAGTGTGCTTCAGTCACCACAAAAACTTTCCTAAAAGTGGAAGAACTATACAAATGCTAGTCCTTAATTTTTTAAATATTTATTATTTTTATGTGCATGGATATTTTGCCTGCATGTATGTAAGTGCATCTGCGTTGTACAATGCCCACAGAGGCTAGAAGAAGGCATTGGATTCCCTGGAACTGGAGTTATAGACACTTATTAGCTGCCATGTGGGTGTTGGGAATTGAACCAGGGTCCAGCCCCCAAAACGCTAGTCCTTATTATTGTCTTCAACTTTTCCATGAAGATTACATCAGAAATATCAGGCCTAATTTTGGAACAAGTTAATGAAAACGTGTTTAAATCAATTTATATAATGAAGAAAAATGGTTAGGAATTTTGTTGTATGCATGTATTACCTTATTCTAGTCCACAGTAGACAAAATAAACCTAAAAAGAAAAAAATAGAAGTCCAGTATTAAATAGTGCTGTTCCTTGCTTGTTTTCAGACCTGTAACTTCTCTTTCCACAGTGCCCAACTGTCTTCAGTCACCAGGAGACTTTCCCCAGCTACCCAGCATGGAAGGGTCCTTCTGGGAGAATGGAAGCAGAGAGGGGAGAACCTTCCTCAGAGAAGCACTGGGTGATGTGTCTGCTGGTAGCAGCCACATTTCCCTTGCCTGTTAAGGTTCCAGCTTCTTCTAGATCACTTGCCTCTGTTAGCACCATCTTCTTCCTTTGTCCTTCCAACATAGCCTCCACCTGCTGCTAATCTCTAGGGTCCATTTGGGACTACTGAGATCTTTTGTCACCAATGTGAACAGTTCTTGCTCTATTAGATTATCTCTGTTTAAAATACTTACAATGGTCTTTGAGTTTTAATGAAACACTTTAATATTCTCATGTCTTTAAGCTCCTTTAGAGACAGACAACAGAAACTTTGTATGGCTAGTTTATGCAAAGAACATATGTAGTAGCCTTTATCTGAATGAACAGGAGCCAGACCAGCTCTGGGTCCCTGTGCAGTGGTTTCCAGGCCTTCTCTAGGAGCCTTGGTCTCTGGGTCAAATTCCTGGGTAAGGCTGGTTTCCCAGTCTCAGGGCAGCTGTCCCTAATTCTCTGTCCACAGCTATGGTTCTTGAGGTACGCCTTCCTGAAACAACAGCATTGACATTACCTCAGAACTCAAGAAGAATACCTTCCCCCAGCACCCACAGTCTGTGTTTTAATGAATCTTCTAGCTGGTTCTGATGAAAGAGTAGTTCTCAAGTACTTCGTCCACGGTATGGAGATAGTGGACCTCAGATACGATAACTCAGGATCTATCCCTGTGTATTTGGGAGCCTTCCCAGGGGACTATACATTGTGAACCTGGCAGTGACTTCAAGTGATGTGTATGTAAAGCTAGTAAATCTGTCAGGGTCTTTATGGTAAAACCTGGTTCCTCCTGAGGGAGAGGACTTTGTTGTATTCTGAGCCAACAATTCAATTTAGCTTCTGCAAAGGCACCCAAAAAAAGATACATTTCACTGGATTTAACTGAGAACTCAGATACACTGAAGAATAGAATAAGAGAGAGGAAATCATACAAAAAGATAAAAAACAGTTAACACCATCTGGCACAGTAAAAGGGGGAAAGTGGCAAGACAGTGTCAGTCACTCA